TCCAGCCCATCACCTTGTTCTTTACAGCAGAAATGCAGTAACCACTCCTACATTCAGCTACTCCAGTACTGACAGCAAAATCCAAACATTTTAAAACTTATTTTATCTGCTATAACTGTATTTCTTTGAACTCAAAGGTATATTTGGAAGAGGTAGTCCAGGAGAAAAGGGTTTCAAGTACCAAAATCTGTATGTCCCGTACCAAGCTGACAGACCTATCAGCACACCGAGGAGCTTTTGACTGAAGTCATGGAAATAGACGGCAGTGCAGAGAAACATGAACACCCAGATCATGGTGAGGAAACACAAGGAAACAAAGAGGCCGTTGATCACAACACGCAGCTTAGAGTTCTGGTCTATGGACAAGCCTTCCAGCACAGCCACCTCCTCCATAATCATCAGAGCGCAGTACGAGAGCAGAAAACAGTGCCCTGAGATGTCAAAACCGTTCCAGATGCCGTGGTTCTGGTGGCACTCCTGCTTGGTGGCATACAGCTGGCGAGGCTCGCTGAGTTTACCCGAGGTAGAGCACGTGCCAGTGAGGTTCTCAATGTACATGAAGAGTCCAGTGCAGACATACCAGATGGCAGTGCCCACTGCAAGTGCACTGAGACGCCGCAGCACCATCAAAATGCTCTTCGTGGCACCGTAGAGGAACTTGCTCTTGGCAAACTGGTAGGTGGTGACTGCCATGAAGGGCAGCAGAAGCCAGAATGTCCATGCCCAAGCCACCTTGACAAAGTATCTGCCAGAGAAAAGCCAAAAGAGAAACATCCACGTGTGAAACTTCGCAGGAGCTGAGGTAAGTGGTGGTGTTTGAAGAAGTAGGTTTTCAAGGTCAGTGCTTAGCGCTGCCTAAATCACACTTGTGCCCTCCCTTCAGAGTAAAGCAAAGCTAAAATCTTACCCCTCTCCCCACTGTTTCTCTCAGGCCCAACACCCGAATACTCCCTCAACCAAGTACTTCCACCGTTTCCCAGGCAGTGTTCCCTCAGACCCAGAGCCCTTGTTCAGACCTGCAGCTCAGTTTTGCAATCGCTTTTACCCTACAAACCCGCTCAACTCTGCCCTACATACAACACAGCTGCAAAGAACGTATTTTTAGCTTGCCACCCTGAGCACAGTAACCCTTTCCCTGACTCTTCTCCTCCATCTCAATTATTTGTGCTTCACGACCTCAACCTCTTAATACTGAACAAGACAGCCAGGAGAAGGGCTGACTCCCCTAATCAGCCTGCAGAACTTTTCCTCCATTATCACCTTATCCATTATGTCCCTTATGTTGAAAAGAGCCTTCCTTTGGCAAAGACAAATCCTCCCACCTCTAAATTCACTCTCTGCCTTGAAAATCTTTGCTCTGATGCTTACAAAATCTTGAGAACCACCTGATGACGTGCTGATATCCTGTTTAGCAGGAGATGGCTAGGAGGAGTGTAACTGGTCCTCTTTTCAGATCTTAATGTGGAGCAGGTACAAGTGAATTTGCTAAGGAGGCTGTAGTCTGTGATCTTCTTTCTCCCCTTACTACCTTGCAAAGCAGCTCGCACCACCTATCCGCTGGTGGGAGAGGGGAACTGTGCAGCCCCCTTGTCACCCACATCCCAGTTTGAAAAAAAGACTCCTCAGCACCTAAGACAAACCCAAGTAGGAAGAGAGTTCAGTGTCTTAAGACCCTAACAAAAACTGTCACAGCTTTGCCCAGGATTTAGAGGAGAACCTCCTTTACTCTCCATTTTACAGTAGAAGGGGCATATGTGTGGCAACTACAGCTGCTACCATGGAATAGCAATTGAAAATTAAATCCTCATTTTATTGAGCCAGTAAAAAAAAAAAAAAAAAGCTGCTAACATCATTGCTGTTGGCAAAGCAGCAGGCAAGTCATTTGTGGGGAGAAAAACTGCTTCAGGAACAGTCACCACAGATAACCTTCCTCTATCTAAAAAGGGAGAATTGAACTGCAGTATGTTTTTACTGTAAGATCTATTTTATGCTCTAAGTGCTCCTGACAATCCTTTTCAACCACAATAAAAGCAGCTCCTCCCCCACATGTCACCAAATGACAAATTTGAATCAATAAAGTAGAAAACTCCCCAAGTCACAAGGGAAAACAGCAATCTTAGCTTTACTTTCTGGTCTGTAGCAGGTAAAGCACACATACACCAGCCCATGTCATCACCTTCCTCGTTGCCATTCAAAAATCATGCTCAAGTTCAGCTTTGAAGAACGATTAAAGAAGTTAAATCACTGCCTAAGTACCAGGAAAGGGCTGCGGTAACTCTGCTTTTAGAAAAGCTGCTAAAACACTTTATTTTCTTCAGCTTGCTTTTAGACGAGTTCAGTAACTATCAGTTTACTCAACCCTGAGGAATAACCTCGGAGGTAAAGAAGGGGGCGGGGGGAGAATCCCTTCTTTTCCTCTCCCCATAAAAACTAAGCAAGAAATTCCAGTTGTTCTGAAATCTTATGGTCCTGCAGGCTATTGCAGGCGCTAGGACCAGGAGATCTAACAGAAACCACCACGCGCCCGCGCGGCCGCCGTATCGCGTCACACGCACGGCCCCGCCCTCCCACGCACGGCCACGCCCTCCCACGCACGGCCCGCGCGCCCCCTGGCGGCGCCCGCCAGCCCGGGAATTGCGGCGCACACGGGGGGGCTGCGCATGCGTACTGACGGGAGGGAGGGCGCCCCCTGCAGGGCGGTGTGGGGTAAGGGCGGGCGCCCAATGCAGTATGGGATCCATAGGGGAGCCCCGTTAGGGTTATGGGGGTCATAGGGGAACTCCCTTACGGAATGGGATCCACACGGGAGCCCCGTTATGGTGTGGGACCTGAAGGGCTGGCCCCTTATGGTATGGGATCCATGCAGGAGCCGCATTACGGTATGGGATCCATGCGGGAGCTCCGTTACAGTATGGGATCCATAGGGGAGCCCCATTACAGTATGGGATCCATGCAGGAGCTCTGTTACAGTATGAGAACCAAAGGGGAGCCCTGTTATGGTATGGGATCCATAGGGGAGCCCCATTACAGTATGGGATCCATAGGGGAGCCCTGTTACAGTATGGGGTCCATGCAGAAATCCCAGTATAATATGGGATCCATAGGGGAGCCCCGTTACAGTATGGGAGCCATGCAGGAACCCCAGTATAGTATGGGATCCATAGGGGAGTCCCATTACAGTATGGGATCCAAAGGGGAGCCCTGTTATGGTATGGGGTCCATAGGGGAGCCCATTGGCAGGATGGGATCCATAAGAGAGCCCCATTGCAGTATGGGATCCATGCAAGAGCTCCATTACAGTATGGGATCTAAAGGGGAGCCCTGTTATGGTATGGGATCCATAGGGGAGCCCATTGGCAGGATGGGATCCATAACAGAGCCCCATTGCGCTATGGGATCCATAGGGGAGCCCCTTTTGTGGTATGGGATCCACATGGGAGCCCCTTTACAGTAGGGGATCCATAGGGGAGATGCATTATGGTATGGGATCCATAGGACAACCCCATGTCCCACAGTGGGAAGGCCCCCCCCGTCTCGTGTCGGTGCCAGCAGGGTAAGACGTGTGCTCAGAAGGTTCCCTTTCCCTCTGTCACGACAGGAATGGCGGCTGCAGTTTGTGTCCCTCACCCGGCGGGCAGGCCGGGACAGAGCAGGGACCCCTGAGGAGCTCATGGGTTTTGGTGTTTACATCACGGAATCTGGGTTGGAGAAGACCTTTGAGATGATGGAGCCCAGCCGTTAACCCAGCACTGCCAGGTCACCATGATGCCACGTCCCTCAGCGCCACATCCACATGGCTGTTCAATCCCTCCAGGGATGGCGACCCCCCCACTGCCCCGGGCTGCCCGGTCCAGTGCTGGACAACCCTTTTGGTGAAGAAATATTCCCCAATGTCCATCCTAAACCTCCCCTGGTGCAACTTGAGGCCATTTCCTCTCCTCCTATAAATGAGCATCCATGACTGCTAGAGGAAGGTGCCAGCTCCCCTGAAAGTGTCTTATCATAGAAGTGAAGAGAAAATTTAAGAATTTCCTCACTCAGTAGAAATTTTTACTGTTTTTCCTGCTGCTCAAGAGAGAGGGAGAAAGTGTTTCTGGGGCTTTTAATGTTCCTGCTGCTTTTCACTGTCCGTGTTTGATCCCTGAGGTCCCTTCCAACCTGGTGTTCCATGATTCTGTGACTTATAGCTGAAAGCGGGGTCCAAGCACTGGCCGTCACTGAGGTATTTCAGACCTATTTCATCTGTTGAACTGCTGCCACTGTCATTTCGGCTTAGTTTTTAAAAAATAATAATAATAAAAAGAAGCCCCAGCGAGCAGAGAATGAACAAAGAGCCTTTATTCATCCTCCATAAGAGAAATGTGAGAGGAGGGGAGGGGGAAAAAAGCAGACCCTATCTGAGATGGGATGGGAAAGTGTTTCTTGCCAGAGTGCCCTTCAAAGCTGGTTTGTAGACAGGGCCAGGGAAGCTGGGACAGCGTCTGGGCTCAGAGAGAAGGACACATCAAAGTGGCCGCAGGAGATAGGGAGAGTGTCAGCGATGGAGGTTATCCTGGGCGAATGGCATCTGGTGATTTATTAGATGTTGGTTTCAATAAGACTGCCACGGCCACGTCTAGCACTCCCAGCCACGGCGTTGTCCCCCCCGAATTAGAAAAGACGGGCAGCTGTGTTCACTCAGACGGGTGGGGATGAGAGGGGCTGGGAGAAGGTTTCACAGAGCCCGGCATTGTCTCCCTAAATCCATCACCCCCCTTCTGCTCCCCCCCCAGGCCTTTGAAACCTGGCCTCCTCCGCTTCCCAGGTGTGGGGCTGGGAGCCCCAGACTGTTTGCAGTGGCCAGCGGCTGGGCTGGTGGCTAATGGAGCGTGAGGTGGTGTCTACCACACGGCGGGAGGATTTCATGAGCTTGGCACCTGCTCGGGATGAATGGAGTTGATGGCACGGGCTGGAAAATGTGTCTATCTTCAGCCCAGCTTGAAATGTCTGAGGATTATCTCTGTGAATTGTGGATTCTCGCAACGGCAGTGAGCACAGCTCAGCTGGGTCCAGGTGTCCTGCAGATTTAGAGTAAATCTCTGCTTTGGGGCCATGTATTTGCTGCCATGTGCACTGGCCAAGGCCAACAGACCTTCTGAGGAGCCGACTGCCATTCCTCTGTAAAGAATCACAGAAGCAGAATTTAGGTCTTTTAAAACTGCAGAAAAAGCTTTTGTTCATAAACGGGGAATAAGATTTCTTCTGGGGGGTTGCAGAAGGTTCTCAAAGAGCTCCCACAGACACCTGGTCAAGCTGCAACAGGTATAAAATTTGTCTGGTATAGCAGATGTGGTGGTCCTTCCCTTTCTTCGTATCTTTTTCCTTAACCTCACCAAGTCACTACCTGATTCCAGCTGAAGCTTGAAATGAGCTGTAGAAAATTCAGACCTTCTTGCAAGATGGCAGCATTTCGCTCAGGCTCCTGGTGCTGCACCGTGACCTGCTGTTGCTGAGATGCTGAGAAGATGATGTTGTATCCGAATATGCTGCAGTGGTGTCACAGTCTCACGTGTGTCATGAGACCCTATGCACAGGTCCTTCCTGCTGAACACGCTCAAAAACATTGCGTGTTAGAAGACGACAAGATCGCTACTGGAAAGTTGATCATGGTTTAAAACCATTTGCAGAATGAGTTAGTGGCATTTAATTCTTCAGCCCCTTGCTAAAGCCCCAGCAAGGGAACCTCCTGACACTGAAGAATAAGCTGGCAAAGCTTTGGAGGTTTGCTGTGGAGCAGGACCAAGAAGTTTGAACAGAATCCTCAACTCAAACAGTCAAACCGAGTCTCTTGACTGTGCTAAACAGGAATCTTTCTTTTTTGGTGAGATTTCTGGGTCCGCTGCTCTCTGTTGCAGCCGAGGGAGGATGTCTGGAGGAGAAGGAGAGAAAAGCTACCCACGTTTTTTAACAAAACATAAGTAATGGTTCTTTTCTGACCTGGGTTTGGGCTAGGGTGGGTTCTCACACGCTCCAGGAGGAGATGGTGGGTGCCCCCCAGCACACTGCCCGGCAGGACCGGCAGGGCCACCAGCCTGAGGCCACACACTTGTGGGGCCGAGTCACCCCACCATCAGTGGCCCATTTGAGATGTCCTCTCTTCCCAGCTTGTCCCCCTGCCTCACAGCCGTTCCCACACCCGCTGGCATCTGCTCACCCACCGTTCCCTGCCCAGGGGGGCCCTCGCCAGCCCCCGTTCCTTCCCTTTGGATGCCAGGTGCTGGTGGTGGCCGCGCTCTCTGTTTTCCTTAGCAAACGCTGCTCACATCTCCATGATTGATTGTGTTTGAGTTTGATCGTGGAGCGTCCTGGGATGTTTGCATGAGAGGTGCTACATAAGCATAATTTGTGCTGTATTTTCTTTGCCTGATAGAAGCTTAAGCTTGAAGTTTAAGACAGTTTTGGCCCTTTGCTGAGACACTGTCCATCAGCCCCAGTGCTTTCAGCTCTGCGGCCTTCTCTATTCACTGTCAGCTTAAAAGAAAATAAATAAAGAAATAATACTGTGCTTTGTTCCTTTGTGTCAGACATGCCTTTGGAACACAGCCTTCCCTTCAGACTGGGCTAGACCTTTCCTGCCTGTCTCTGATGGGGAGGGATGCTCTTCTGATGAGCCCTGGTCATGGGTCTGGGCAGAACCAAGGGTAAGTCTCGCTCCCATGGGTGGATGCTGCCTTATTTACAGCAGAGATGCTGAGTCGAGAGATGATGGTAACTCACTACCACCTGTGTGGCTGCCCAAACCAGCGGGAAACCCCAAGAACTTTAGAAAAAGATGCGGAAATTAACCCCAGAGGAATTTGTACAGACTGCACCATCGCAGAGCCCGGCCTGAAAAACCTCTGCAGGTCACACATTTCCCCTCCAGCTCCCCTCAAATGAATAGGAAGGGTATGATCTGAGCTGCAGGGAATTTTCGGCATATTTGGTGGTTATATCCAAGATCAAAATATTTTGGGATACTGGGCGAAGCGTAATAAAGAACCAATTCAGTTTTCAGCAGCACAAACTTTATTAATGCTACAAATTAATACCTACTGCTACAAAATATTTACATTTCTTGTTCCACAGGGCCAGGTTGCAGCAGAGCAGACTAATGACGGGTTTTAATTTACAGGACAGGATGGTCTTGTGATGAGCATAGGCTCTGAGGAGCTGGGTTTGATGTCTGGCTCTGACAAATTCCCCCTCCAGCCATAGGCAACTGCCTCCACCCCTGCATCCCCGTACCCTGAGCGGGATACAGGAGAGCTTCTGTTCTCCTCCTTCCTTAATTTCTTTCAGAGATAATTGCGAAGTTGCAGGGGGATACGATAATGGTCTGAAGAGCTTAAAAATAACCAGAATTCACAAAGATGTAAAATAGTTACTCTCCCTACAATACAAATTAAACAGCCCATTAGCAGATGAAGTGG